TGGCCCTTGTGTAGTATGTGGTCAAAATGATCCTAAAATTGAATATAGAAGACTTACTACTAATTCAATAAAAGCAACATGTAATAGCCCAGTAATTCAGAATAAGCAAGTATTTCATGACCTCGCAAATATTCACAGACTTCCAATTTATAATATAGTTCAACTTTGATTTGATTCGAAAAAATAAAAATTTTTATTGGATTATCAATTACGTGAAACAAAAATATTGATCAACCAATCACAAGATTTTAACTATGCTCATTTATTTTTACTAAATTAGGATTTTACCCAACAGCCCTGATAATATTATGGTACATAGAAAAAATGTTGATCTTTATTGACACGTGATTTATTTTCAAATCATTCACGAGATCCTTCTTAATTTGGTAATTTTACAAATAAACGAATAAATATGACGTTCTTCCATCAAATGAGGGCTTCCGCGTGAACCAATATCGTTACAATATGCATCATCTTTTCCAGGAAATTTTCCATTTCCTTTATTAAGTGACATCATACAACGTTTGATTTTCCGGGACGATTTCGAATAGAATTATTACTATTTGTCATACGGTAAACTTGATAAGTCAGAGATGAGAGACGATTTAACTTATCAAAGAAACTCGAGTTATCAAAACATGTGATTTTACAAAACAAGAAAAAAAGGAAAATAATAATAATAGTTGAAAAGGATAAAGCAATTGTATTTAATAAATATATACACAGGACTCAATGAATAGGTCCGCTCAATCAATTGTTTAAAATATACACTTGATTATGTAAATGACCGTTTTATTGAGTTTATCCGTGTAACAGATAAAAACATAACAATAAAAATTTATTTAATATTATACTTTTAGAGGTATAACAGGACCCACAAACTTCATAGGCTACTGCTGAATTCATATATATATTAAATTTTTTGCCAGTGATTTCAACTAATATGGTCAAATTATTTATAAATTTAAAAATTTTACAAATGTAACAATCACTAATAGGGTCAAATTAATTTAGTGTTAATATTCAATGATTTTATTAGGGAACCAAAAATTTTGTGCAACAGAATTTTTCTTTCGTGCTCATTCAAAAACTTTATATCTTTTATATTAAAAAATATTATTATCGGTTAAATCAATTAATTGAAAATTTTAATGTTAGTATATATTATTTTTCTAATGTTGTTGCAAACTCTAGAGTCAAGTTATATATTAAACTTAATTTTGGTCTGGGTCAAATCATATAACAAACAGGAATTTTGTTACTGGCCTATCTATGAAGTTTGCAGAGTCCTGGTATAATTGATGTCTTTTTTCTATTTTCAAGCAAGCAGCATTCAAAAAAATCGTATGATTTATTTTTCAAAAGATTATCTGTATACGTATTACAAAAATCACGTGGACCGACTTATCGAAAGTCTAGAATTTATATATTGTCGAAGATTTTAAATATAGAAAAAAAGGGCTGAAAAAATTTGACTCATCAAATTTACCTGTGCACCGAATAAATTACAATTTACAATTTCTTCAATTTTTTTGATTTTGATTTCGACTTGGGACTTCAATTTCGATCTCGATTTGTTTCAAATTTTCCCAATTTCGATCTCGATTTTGATTTTCGATTTCGAATTTTCTTAAATATTAATTGAATGTATGATTAATCACAAATATTACGGAGAAAAGGCTTGTCCATCCTGAATTTTTAGGATTTGATTTGATTCAACTAATAAATAGAAAGTTACCGCAAAAATAATCGTGTTTTAATACTAAATTTTATTGGTGGGTTGGCGATCGCGGATATTATAACGATGCAAAGTTGATTAACCAAATCATATTTAATAAAAATTATTTTGTCAAACCAAATTTTGATATAATTTTTACTTTACTTGATTAACTGAACCTAATGACTGTAGAGTTTGCGTAAAAGTGGTTTTAAAATTCATCTTTTGAAATTTTTTTTCCAAATTTGGACTGAATACATATAAACACGTGATCTGTACTATTTAACCGAACTTTGATAAACCAGCTTGTTCACTTGTATCATTTATTTATATTTTCTGTGCATGTATGTATGAGGTGTGTACGTAATGCGATTTTATTATTAATTATGCACACGATAACTCGGTCCTCTCGATTTATTATTATTATAATAAAGTACTTGGCAATATAAATAAATGACGGGGTTTACCGTGAATTGTTATTTCTAGAACACAAGTAATATTTTGTTCATTTAATTGACTAATTAATCATTTATTGATTATAGCCATACTACTAAAGTGCAACGGTGCATAATTGTTTTTGGATTATGGCAATAATCACGGATCTTAATATTCCTTATATGAATGAGTATTAATATGCCATTTGACTTAAAGAGTTCAAAATAATTACAGAGATACTATTAAAGTTAATTATGGCAACTGTGAAACTAATTATGGCACCACAGATACGGCGACGATAATCTATTAAGAAGGGCAATTATGGTTTGGATATTAGAAAATAATATTTTTTTAGCTTGATTCACATGTTGCCTGAATTAAACTCCACAATTGGAATAATTCACGTTAAATATGCAGATAATAGGTAGCTTCGCCGCATTGCTAGAATTTATTTCTTCGTGTGCCATATAAAAGAAGGTGGGTACTGCGTTATTATCAAAGAATTTACATTAGACCAGTTTTTTTTTCAAGATTGCAACTCTATGAACTATTTTAACTATTTGATTGACTTTTCCAAGGGTTCTATAGAGATACATACCTGGATAGTCCGTGAAATAAAATCTAATGCTTTTATAATACATCCTAAATCATATTTTTTTTGGTTAATTATTAGCGGCAAGGTCTATCAATATGTAACAATAATCACTCTTACGGCAAAATGGATTTTGAAAGTGTATGATATATTAATTGCGGGTACACAAGAAGCACGAATTACACCACATTGTTACTCACAATCTATTCTAACACCTGCTGGAAACGTTGTACCTATCACGATTCGACATTTGCAAGATATGCTTATTTGTCATCGTTGTTTTTTTCCCCAGCATTTAAACTACTAATTGGGTTATGTATGAATTAATTCCTCGAGACACTCAAGATGGATTCACAAAATCCTCATGAGACTACCACATTTTTGAATATGACAATGTTGATGACAAATTGTGGAATATCGTGTAACAATTAAAGGATTCGCAAATCTTACAGTCGTGCGACATTTCGCATTATTTTACAAGTAGCACGAACAGCTCATGCTCGAACAAGGTGTATTTGAATAAAAACGAATTGAACTAATAACAAATCAAACAAACAACGATAAAGTCATTACCTTGTTACTGATATTTATGCATCAAATGAAGGTATTGGAATAGAGAGATGATATTTACAACTTCCTGAAATAGAACACGATTGGTGTTTCCGTTCCTGGCGAAACTTAAATCCAAGCTCATCAGAAAAGTTTCTATTTATAAAAAGGAAACACAAATCTCGTTTCAGTCTTTCCTTATTATTATTATTGTTTGTTTATATTTAATATAAATATAAAATGAAGATCCAATGTTTCAAATGAATAATTACGAATAGAAACATTCCAATTTAAATTAAAGTACGTCATTTGAACTTTGTGATAGATACTCTCTCTAAGTAAGTAAAACTACGGCTATTCGGAAATAACATTGCATTCCGAAATAAATTGTGGCTGCTGGTCTTATTTCCCAAAAATAGAATTTTATGTCAATCTGAGATTTTTCCATTTTATTATTTTATTATTTTATTGATCTATGTATGACGTTATGTAGATCTTTATCCATTCATTCATTTTAAGAAATTTTATTTATCCATATTTTGCATGATGACTTTTCCAAAAAAGTAACACTGATTTTTATGGGCAAGATTTTCTTTCACGGTCCTAAAGCGCACATGCATAATTTACAATATTAATATTATGAAAAATACCTGGAAGTCTGCCGATATAAAATTTGTTTATAATGTTTTTTATATTTAAGGGTTTTTATTATATAATCATGAAGATCCACCCCTCTGCCACTTAAGATTCTGTAGTACGTGAGTGAATCGGGATTTAGCCAACCAATGGGTGGTGGTGCGACCATTTATTTTTTTTAAAGCATGTGACAAAGAGCTAATGTCAAAAACAATGCTGCACAAGGTTTCAATGGTTTCAGTTTGAAGATTCGTAAATGTGTGCTTTCAACTATATAATCAATTACTCATACAGAACACGCAAATATAAATTGGATCTCTACTTTTGTCATCAACTTAAAACAACTATTTAAATATGTACACACAACATTTATATTTGGCAGTTTTAATCTTCAATTAAAATTACCAAAAAAAGATAATTATAATAATACTATAATTATAATAGTGAAAAGTAAAATGAAAAACAAAATATTTACCGCCAGTGTAATAATTAGTAATAGTGATAAATGGTAAATGGTAGAATAATAATTATTTTAAAGAACTTGTTTTCTGAAAAAAATCTTTTTTTTTTATTATTAAAATAAAATCCGTGTTATGCATGCGTAAAATTAAAGGATATGTGAGACGAACGGACGTACAGTGTGAATAAACAATACAATTAGGTGAACATAATTATAAATGAGGTTAAGTTTAAAACAGTTTCCAGATTGTATTTGTTGGTTGTCAACTAGTGGTATGATGAAGTTGAGAAATGCGTACACAAATTGAATAAATATTTACCTTTTTCTCCCTTCACTCAAATTTTTCTTATCTTTTCTCTATCTATTATTTTTTATTCTCTTCATCCTTTGTTAATTTATATATTATTTGTCATACTCCTTTATTACATAATATAAATATATCTAGAAAGATCTTGTGTTTCAATTTTTTCCATTTAAACTTTCAGTCAATTATAAATTCTTCACCCTTATTATTAATGATTATTATTTTTGTCTAATCAAATAAATTTTTTTTAATATTTAATTTTTCATTTAATTAACAAACATAGTCATCTACCTTAATCATCTAAAGGATGTCGTATCCAGATAATAACCAAGACAACTTTTATGAAAATTTGATGAATCCACAAATTGATACTGTTAATGTCACTACTTCTAACATTTCTACTCTATCATCATCGTCACCATCTATTATTAGTAATCCTAGTAATATTACAATTTCTGGAAATAATTATCCGTCAATTATTCCAATAAACTTTGATACGTCAATATTTACTATTAGCGAAGATAATAATAATATATCGTAAGTGATTTTTTTTTAATTCATTCGTTTATTTATTTTTCTTTAAAATTAAATATTTTCTTAATAAAATTATAGAGACGCAAGTTCTCAATTATTATTAAACCCGATTATTCAACAACAACAACCATATTCCACCACTACCGTTCAATCTTCGTCACACGATATTAGTAATACACCATTATCCATGAATCCATTATCTAATTTAGGTGGGTTTATTGGTGGTGGATTAGTTTCTATGAACTCTGAAAGTGATTCGGGTGCTACTATAGATACTTTATAGTAGCAATAATATCATGTATTAACAATGTTGATATTATTTCTAATTCTACTACTTTTAATACCATAATCATTGTCTCTTAACACCTTCAACAATAATAATAATAATAATAATAATGATAATACTAACACTTTACCTGACCTCTCCAGGTACTACAATTCCTCCACCTTCTTTGTCAGGTGATTTGTCTGTCTATAAAAATTAAAGTTAAAAAATTTGTGAGTTTTTTTTGTTAATTGGTTCTTGTTTTGAAGTATATAGGTGTCACTAGCAATTTCCCTGGTTTATATTCTAGCACAGGATTTGATCTGCTTGGTGTTTTGGTAAAAGAATTTTTCATACAATTATTATTATATTCATATAAAATATTTTTTAATCTAATTTTGATAATTAATTAGGCTCGTGTCGTCTCAAGGTATATATATATTCGCAAAAATTTTTCTAATGATTATAATTGGACATAAGAAAATTGTTTAATAATGCAATTGCCGTACACTTTCAAATCATTTACAGAAAGGATCCACGAATAAATATTGGACCTGTTGATATGAGCTGTTCGTTTTTAGTAGGTACGTACACAAAGAGACGTGTGTATTATGCTCTTGTGGATTGGTGTTACAATGTAATGTTGGTTTGTTATCGATCAAAAAAATTTATTGATATTTGTTTGCTGTAATTTAGTGGACGCTCGCAAATTTGATTTTCCAATCGTTTATGCAAGTTTTACATTCGAAAAATTAACTGGTTACTCAAATGCTGAAATCGTTGGAAGAAATTGCCGGTTCTTACAATCTCCCGATGGTCGTGTTCAACTTGGATCTAGACGTCGTTACACCGATAATAGTGCTGTATTTCATATTAAAAGCCATATGGTAGTCGGTCAAGAATGTCAAGCCTCGATAATTAATTATAGAAAAGGAGGACAAGTAAGCTATAAATTTTTCTAATTTAATAGTGAAGAAAAAAGATTATGATTAATATTTTTATTTTTTTTTTGAAAAAATAAAAAGCCATTCATCAACTTGGTGACAGTGATTCCCATTGGTTGGGAATCTGATGATATTGCTTATTTTGTTGGCTTTCAAGTGGTATGTGAAATTTGAAAAAAAATCTTACAAGTATTAATTGATAGAGATCAGGCCACACACAAATTGTTTCGTTCCTTTAATAATAATGATTATAATGAATTTTTTATGTATACGGGGGGAGTCATTTGAGAAAATCAGTCAATTATTTTGCAGATCTTTTTATCACATTGATATATCCCTAAGCTAAAAAGATTCTCTACATATAACTGTATCATTATCTCAAAAATGCCCCCCAAAAAAAAATAGACTAATTTTCTCAGATGACTCCTTCATGTATTTTTTTATCAATTCATTTAATTTATTAAAGATATGAATATATATGTGTGTGTGTGTGTATTTTGAGGCTAATGAATTTTCAAGATTTTTTCTCCTTTTCAATTATCAAATAGAATTTTATTTTTATATGATTAAATTTCCTTTGGTTTTGTTTTTTATTTTTTATTATTGATTGATTCATTTCAATTATTTATTTATTATATAAAATCATTAGAGGACATATTAGAAAAATTTTTTTAATAATAGTTATAGCATGATTTTTTTTCTGTTTTGGTTTCCTTTCTTCATCACCATTTATTCTAATAACATTCATTCCAATTTTTCATTACTCACTACATCTTTCATCATTCTCAATCATTCTCAAACTCTCACTCACACTCTCACTCATAAACCACATACTAATTTATGATATATAAAGGACTTGGTAGAGCAGCCGAATGCTATCTTGGAGAAAATGAAAGATGGGACCTACGTTGTAAATTATTCAATGACCAATTTTCCTCCTTACGTACCACCTAATTCTTCTGCCACAAATTTTGCTGGTGACATTGAAGATTTTCTACATGATCTAACGTTAAATAATCCTTCTTCATCATCAATAAATCTTACAGTGCCATTTCCTGCATCATCTGAAGTTTATGACTTAATAAGAGCCCGTTTTCATAATAGGCATAATAATAATGTCAATGTTGATAATAATAATAATAATACTGTTGGTGGTGCTACAGCAAGTTCATCGTCAACAATAATAACAACAACAGCATCGTCATCATCATCATTGGCAGCATCAACGAACAACAACACCACTAATACATCAACTTCGAATTTAGATACAGAGTGTAGTAAAAGATTATGGAATCAAATGCTATTGGAGTATAATGACGATTTTATTCACGTTCTTTCATTAAAAGGAATATTTCAATATAGTTCGCCTAGCTGTCGAAGAATTTTAGAGTACGAGCCAGAAGAATTGATTAACAAAAGTTTATCGACAATTTGTCATCCGAGTGATATTGTCCCGGTTATGAGAGAATTGAAAGAATCGTCTAGTGGTATCGAGGCTGTGAACCTTGTTTATCGTATTAGGAGAAAAAATTCCGGGTATATGTGGTTCGAAGCTAACGGTAAATTGCATTTGGAACAGGGAAAAGGTAGAAAATGCGTGTTTTTATCAGGGCGTGAAAGACCCGTTTATAAATTAAGATGGAGAGATTTGATAAGTCCACAACAAATCAACTTTGGTATGACCTCTTCAAGTATCAGCACTACCAGTAATGATCCTATAATATCAACACCACTACCACCACAGCAAAAGCAGCAACAATTATTATCTTTATCATCAAACGAACAAGACGTTTGGTCAAAATTATCATTGGATGGTTTATATTTATACGTCTCGTCAACTTGTCAAAATGTTTTGGGTTTAATGCCTGAAGAAATAGTGGGAAATTCTCTCTACAATTATGTAAGATCAGATCGTACAACCGACATCACCAGATCATTAAATCATGCTAAAAATGGATTATCAAATGGTTTAAAACATCACATGCAAAAAAAGAATGGACAATTCATCGAAGTGATATCGTATTTTTATCCTGGGGATTATTCTACCTCCAATAACAATACTGTCGGTAGTAGACCAACATTTATAATATGTCAAACAGGAGAAATAACAAATGACGGCAGTGGTGCTGTTGTTGGTAGCGGTAAACGTAGACAATCTCCCCCTTTGTCGAATTCACCGGACGATAATGTTATAGCAACTTCAAGTACAGCGGGAGGTGGAAGTAGTTCAACAACAACTCATATAGTAACACATCAAAGAAATATAGCAGTTGACCATCAACCTGATGATAACATATTCGAAGAATTGGACACAACCAGAAGTACAAGTTGGCAATATGAATTACATCAAATGAGGTTAACGAATAAGAAATTACGCGAAGAATTGGAAGCTATTAAACATTCGAAAAAAAAACGGGTAATAAGATCAAGTAAATCAGCTTTTAAATGAGAGAAGAAAACGCACTTTTTTAAACAAAATCAAATCAACTTTCATTTCCCTCCTTTTTTAAATTAAAAAAAAAATAAAAATCAAATCAAAAATAAAAAAATATTTAGAAAAAACGCAATCCATCATCACCATCATCATCACCATCACCATCATCAACAATCTCATCAAACAAGATATGTGCTAATTGTCAACGAAAAGAGTCACCGGAATGGAGAAAAGGGCCCGATGGTCCAAAAACTTTGTGTAACGCGTGTGGTTTACGTACGTAAATTTGTTGTTGTTACTATTGCTCATTTGCTCTCCACACTCGCCCACAAATTTACTACTACCATCACTACATCAATTAATTTTTGTTGGTGGATTTTTTATTTTTATTATTTGTGCATGCATGCTTGTGTTAGTTTAGAAAAAAATTTTTCTTACATTTACTTATTTGTTTAATTAATTAATAAATTATTTTTTTTTTTTTTTTGTTTTTGAAAAAAAAAAAATATTAGGGTATGCAAAACAAGTAAGTAGTAGTAGTAATAACAAAAATAACATCAATGTCGATAACAATATTAATAACAATGAAGATGGTGGTGGTGGTGATAATTTTGTTAGTGGTTCTTGAGCAATTATTACATATGTTTATTATATTATATGTTTTTTTGCAAATAAAAATTATTATATATCATAAATTAGCAACATAGCAATAAAGTTTCGTTGTAATTGTATATTAATATGATAATGACGTGGACTAAATCATAACGGAAAATATAGACTGTAATTGTTATCGTTTTCTGTACATTCTAACCTACTTTTTTTTTATAAAAATTTTCTTATCTGTCCACTCTTTCTTTCTTTTGGCAACTTGAATATACTTTGTTGTTATAAATATTGTCATCCATCATCTATCAAGCTTCAAATTTGACAGTAATTATTAACCAATCACTTTCATTATTTTGTTCACGATTATCCGAGATTCAATAGTAATAGGAATAGATCTGCCGACTTATTTTAATACTCACTCGCATCATTAAAGCTACTTACTAGTAGTTAAATCATTGTCATCATATATATTTCTTGTGATATAACATTCCCAATATCATTATTATTAAATACAATTTTGGAATCAACAGACTGGTCATATTATTATCAACATCATCATTAGTTGATTGATCAATTTGAAGTCTGATGAAAATCTTCTTTAATTATTATGGATTCAGTTACCATAATCTCAACTTGAGGTTTCTTCATTATTATTATCAAATCAATGTCAATTAGTAATTAATATTAATGAAAGAATTATATATGTACGTGTATATACAAAAGATTTAAACGATGATATTTCTTCAAGTGGTGTGTGTGTTAATGTAAACGATAATAATGATATCACAACTAATTTTTTTTTTCTTGATGCCAAAAAAATAATACCACTTGGCAAAAGACCTTATAAAAATTTTGTTAGAGAAAAAAAAAGTATTAAAACTCGAAAAATTTTTAGATAGATAACAAGTTAACACCATACGATAATATTTCAAGGAATTATCCGATTGTTTTATCATTGATTAGATTGCAATATCACAAATTTATTTTCATTCTAAAAAAGAATAATGATAATGATAATCTGTGTGTATGATTATCAATTGGAATAATCTCATTTATTTTTTTTTTCTTGAAAATTTTCCTCGAAAACTTTACTTGAAAAAAATCATATAAATATGACCAAATTTTCACCTTCAAAAATAATTTTACAATAAAATATAAAATTGCCTAATAATTCAATTAATTAATAAATAATAAATAAATAACAAATAATAATTTAATAATAAAAATGACAAAAGGACGTGTACTTCTTGCATACTCTGGCGGTTTGGATACTTCATGTATTCTTGTTTGGCTTATTGAACAAGGTTATGAGGTTCTTGCTTACTTAGCCAACGTTGGTCAAGATGAAGATTTTGACGCAGCCAGAGAAAAAGCTTTAAAAATCGGTGCAAGCAAAGTTTTTATTGAAGTATGAAATTGTATTATTTATTATTATGGATCTATATATATATGTGACAATTAATTAATTGATTTGAATATTTTTAGGATTTGAGAAGTGTTTTTATCGACGAATTTATTTTCCCAGCCATTCAAGCAAATGCAGTATATGAGGTAAAATTCAACTTGATTTTTAAAAAATCCATTATATATATATTGCAAATTGATTAATGCTCAAATTATTTTTTGTTTATTAGAATATATATTTGTTGGGTACTTCACTCGCTCGTCCACCAATTGCTCGTCGCCATGTAAACAATCTACTTTTTTAATTTTATTCATTATTATTTTTATTAAACATGACTGATGATATTTAATTTTTTGTTTATTAGATTGAACTTGCAATTCAAGAAGGTTGTCAATATGTTTCTCATGGGTGTACAGGAAAAGGAAATGATCAAGTTCGTTTCGAATTAGGATATTATGCTTTAAACCCCGATATCAAGGTTATTGCCCCATGGAGAATGCCAGGTTAATAATAATTATTAAAGTTTTTAGATGAAATTTAAGTATTTAATTATTCCAACAACTAACGGAGGGTTTTGTTTTTAGAATTCTATGAACAATTTCCTGGTCGTCAAGCACTTCTTGCTTATGCAGCTAAAAAAAATATACCTGTTGTTCAAACAGCTGCAAAATCATATTCAGAAGATGGTAATTTGTACCATATCTCTCATGAAAGTAAGTCCTTCGCCTTTATCATTTTGTTGAATATATATATATATATATAATTTTTATCAACATATTCAAATTGTTAACGTTAACTAAATGCATTTATATTTATATTGTTTTCAGGTGGTTTACTTGAAGATCCTGGATGCACCCCACCAAAAGATATGTGGAGTATGACTGTTGATCCAGAGGAAGCTCCTAACACACCTGAACATATTGTAAGATGATTTAAATATTTTCTTTTGTGCGTTTTAAATATGTAAATAATTTATATTAATCAATATAATTATATACATATTTATAGACTATTTATTTTGAAAAAGGAAACCCTGTTAAAGTTGTTAATCATAATGACAAAACAGAGAAATGCAATTCGCTAGATTTATTTACGTATTTAAACAAATTGGCTGGTAATCATGGTATTGGTCGTGTCGATATGGTTGAATCAAGATTTATAGGATTAAAATCTCGTGGATGTTATGAATCACCTGCAGCCACAGTATTGCGCGTTGCACATTTGGATCTTGAGGGAATTACACTTGATGGACAAGTTCGTCATCTTAAAGAAGTAAATATTAGTATTCCTTATGGCAGAGTTCTTTATAATGGCCTTTACTTTTCACCTGAACGTGAATTCCTTTCACATTCACTTGAATTCACACAACGTAATGTCAACGGTGAGGTTAAAATCAAACTATATAAAGGTAATGCCATCATTGAAGGTCGCAAAGCCTATGGGGTAGGATCTAAACTTTATGATATGAGAGAAAGTTCAATGGACGAACATGGTGGATTGACACCTACTGATGCTGGTGGTTTCATTAATACACATGCAATTAGACTTAGAAAATGGGTACCAGCTGATAAACAATAATATTTATAGAATTATTTTGTTTTTTTAAAAAAAAAATATTACTAGCACAATTATTTATTAATTAATGTAAATATATATTTTTTATAATCTTTTATTACATTTTTGTTTAAAAAATTATTATTTAATAAATTTGATTATTATTGTTATGACCAACTTCAACGGCCGTAGTGTGTTAATTGAAATTATCACATTCATTCCCAATAATAATAAGTAGGGCCTCTATTCGAATAAAACGAATAATTCGAATAAGAAAATTGATTCTAATGATAACAAATCTATAACCTAACAATGAATACATACTAATCCCGTGTTTAACCATATTCTCTCATTTTATATTCGACACTATATCATCATTATTTTACTATCTTGCCAGGGGGACGCCTTTGATAAGCATAGTTATATATATTTCTTTTAATTTTATTTTCTTTATTTTTATTTAGCTTAGGCCAACACCTAAGAAGAGCAAACCCTAGCTAGGTGTAGTCAGTCCAGACACTGAACCTAAAATACAACAAACAAAGCCCAACCTGATCACAGCCAAGTAATAAGAAAGCCTAAAGAACCAAGGCAGATATTTAGGAAGGTAAATATCTTGGGAACGTGCCGGCTCAGGTAGATAGCAAAGAACTGTTGAGAAAATGTTACCGGATCTTGCCCCACACAGATTAATAGACCAAGCGCTATTGATGTCATACACATAAGAAAAGCAATTGCAATTGAGAGTAAAACTACCAAGGAGCACTTGTCCACAGCTGTATAAATCAAACATTACTATAAATAAAGTATTGAGGTTACAAGTACCAAGGAGCATTCACTCACATCTTAAAGTAATTCAATCTCACAATATAAATTTTTTTATTAGCGTCATGTGCAACCAATGAAATGCTTTGTTTCTCTAGGTGCACACCCTCTCTAAGTGTACATTATCCTTATTATCATCTACTATATCTAATGAAAAATTCCTCTAAAAAGAGGAAATATTGTAGTCATCTTCAGTTCTTCTTCAGTAGCATTTTTTTTCAATCGGTTAATATTTGATTTACTGTTTAATAATTGAAAGAATATCTTGTCAAAGAACATTGTGTAAACAAGTTAAACCAATCAGCCAGCACTTACATAAATTGAATATTAATTGTGTAAATTTTCAAATCCTTCAATCCAGTGTATAAATTCATGTGCACAGTGCACAACCCCTTTAAGCTGTGTACAACGAGACAAAATCTTTGTGCAGGCTCTCTACAAAATTTTAAATATAGTGCACAAATTCAATGAGAAATTTTTGCACTATTACATTTTTCTATATATACAACTAAACTACTTACAATGATGTTTGCAAATTGATGCACCATGGAATCCAATATTTCATTTTTAATTTCTTTACAATCAAACAAACTTTCTTTCATTAAATCTAGGATACCCAATATGCTGGTCTATTGAGTATAAAACAAAATGTAGATATAAATAACCAACCAGATATCAACATTTTGAGATTATCATAAACTTACGTTATTATTTTTTTGATTTAGAGCTCCCGATTTTGATCAGAATTTAACTAAAATATTTTATTAAACATTATTACAGTTTCTTGGTCTAAATTAACAAGTTATTTTTATTTTTTCAACTAGTGATGACAAGTGGCAATAACCACCATTCTCTTTAATAAACTAGAGTTATGATAAGTGGTGATAACCACCATCATTTTTAATAAATGACACTTACCCACGACTAGCTCCATTCTCTTGTTTTCTTTTGGCATTCTTATGTTTTGTGTTAAAAAAGCGTGTCTTGATTAAACAATACTAATGTTATTATTATTGGCACTTTTTTTTTTTTAAAAAAACAATTTATATTTGACAGAGTTCAAGATGACAAACGTTTTATTTTCATTGATATATATAAATATTTTAATTGGAATCAAAATGCGGAGCAGAACTTTATAAGATTCTTATCAAGATAGTAAACGATTAGCAATTTGCTTTACGTAATCGTTATTAATATTAAATATATAATTACATGTCATGACTAACTTTCAGAAGAAACAATTCGATATGCAATGTTTGATTATCAGAGATTTTACAGGCATTGAACACTTTACACATTCTCTCCAACCAGCTACGCCCGATGATACAATGATGCAAACCAAATTTCAGGGGATGGCGCATGGCCCTGGAGTTTATTGAAATTGCATCAACATCCGCAAATCCTACTACCTAATCTAGCATCCCATACCAGAGAAGGTTGCCATTCTAGCCGAAAATTGCCTGGAACAATCCTACCTCTAGGGTGAGCAACCAAGATGCAACTCTGCAGCATTTTGAAGAGTTGTGATATTTAAACATCCAGATCCATCAAAATAATAAGAATCTGCAATTTTTTATTAATTAATTATTGAATCCAAGACTGCATCACTATGTCAATCAAACTATCAAGCTACTAGGTTTGTACATGATTTAAATTCTTTTGTGCTAATATAGAGTCCTATCCTTCTTTGCTTATATAATATGTTGATTCTCTTTTGTAAGTAGCATTTTACAAATCATGTTTTTAACCTTTCAATAATGATAATCATTATAATCAATTTGTGGCTTAGGCTCTCAAAATAATAGAAATCTTGGTTCTTGAAAAAAATTTTCCTAATAAAGGTTGTGCAGATCAATCATTTAACCATCTAAAGCTATATATACACTAACTAATATCATAATAACATTTGGATAAAAGCACGATCCATTTCACATTGTTTGAAACTATTTTGGAGTTAAATTTCTCATGCTCAAATGTGTTGAGATCAAAAAATAAATATACATACATAGTTATAGAAATAACAATACTTGGGTAGTTCAAATATTACTGCAATGATGCGTGGAATTAAATTATTCAGATAATAATAGTTTTTATTAAGAATAGTTATATTTTTGTATTATTAATTAAATGCAATATTAAAAATTGGCACAATGTGTATATCAATATATATATGTATTTCTTCCTCATAAAGTATTTACTACTAAGGTAGCAGATGGTGTAAGATCTAAAAAAAAAAAAATTGTGATTAATTACTCTTTAGGCGTCGGAAAACAAAACACTTTAAATTCACAAATAAAAATCACAAAACCTACTTAATTCTTTTAAAGATTTGGATCTTTCGCTACCGTCTAATTCTCGCCTAATGTTATGAACATGAATATATTGTATAAGAACATAAATATTTATTTATTATTTGAATATTCTCAAAAAAAAATAATTTTAATTACCTTGGAAAAGTTGTCATTAAATGAAACGGAAAAGCAATATGTTCACCAATAAATACATAGACCAATTCTAAAGCGTCAGTAGATTTAAATGTATGTGTGTTACGCGTACCATCTGGCATAATCAACTTTTGAAGAGAGAGAAAGAAAAAGCAACATTATTGTTATTATTATTATTATTATTATTATTATTATTATTATTTGAAAATTAAGAATTTTTTCCTATACTTACTTGTAATCTTGTTTCCGAATAGTCATTCGTTTTTGTTGTAGTTGTATTATTATTAGTATCTGCTGATAGAACATGTATTATAGATTCTGTTGATTTAATTTCATTATTATTATTATTATTATTATTATGATTATTATTATCATCATTTTCTTGATTTAGGTGAATTGATCTTTCAAATTCTCGCTAATAATTATAAATAATAATATAATATAAATTAGTTACTAAACTTAATATATATATTAATAAATAAGGAAATAGTAAATACATTAGCAGCTCTTTCCCTCTTATCAGCTTCAATTAGAGCTCTTATTTTTGCTCTAGCCAACTTTTCTTCTTTTTGTAACATTTGTCTTTGTGCTATGGCTTTCAACAATTCTGGCCTTTCTCCCGATAATGATGGGGTTTTTTCGTTTCTACTTTTAATCATCAATTCATGATCACCACCACTAATACTACTATTACTAGAGGTAATTATTTTTCCATAACCATCATTTGACTTATTGTTATTGTTTACACCTCTACCTTCGCATCTATCTTTATTTTTATTGTCGTTGTCATCGGGATGAACTAGCAACCTATCAAAAATTATAGAAAATGATAAATTTAATTAATTAGTTTGACGTCTATATCTTCGATTATTATTATTATTATTATTATTATTACATACCAGTCCATAGTTGGTTGTAAGCCTATACCATTTGTAGCTTTAATTGCTTTTTCCCTGTTTTTTTTTTTCGATTAATTAATTAATAAAGAATTAGTATCAGGAAAAAATTGATTTCAATTAATTTCATAATTTAATTTCTATTATTATTGATTGATTACTTACACCTTATTTGGTGGAAATCCCATATCAATTAAAGTGTCTTTATCAGATTTCGAAATCATAATTTTTTGTGTATGTTAGTTATTTAGAAATTTTTTTATTCTTTCTGAAAATTTATTATTATTGTTATTCTGTCATTATACAAATTATTCTTACCTATTTATACGACATATTTGTATGGAAGGTTGATGGTTTTTTTTGTTTAGTCGTTGGTTTGGTGTGATGGTATGATTTATGTATTATTATTATCGTATGATTCACAAAACGTACGATTTAGAAAATTGCGATATAACGATTTTTTGTTTCATCGCTACAATGAATCAAATGATTTTTCATGTACATTCATGATGTTTTTTTATTTATATTTTTAAAAAGAAAGGATATTTATTAACCGGATAACCTTTTTATTAAATTGGTATAATAAAAACAAATATTGTAATCATTCAAAAAATCTTATCAATAATTGATTGAATAATGTTAATACCAATTAGTAATGATACTGCTAATGTTAATAATATTAATGTTAATATTAATGTTAATAGTAATGTAAAAAGCTATTAAGCAACAAAATAACAGAGGAATGATATAGTTGTGAGTTTTTCTTATGACATTACCACCACGATAAATATAGATCGAATTGGTTTTTTTTAATTTAATGTATATTGTAAATCATCAACATAAATAAAAACTAATCAAAAAAAAAAAAAAAAATACGCTAAATTATACCATACATACACACAAATACCTCAAAAATGTCATTTCCTCAACTGTTTAAAAAATCTAAATTAGCATCATATGATCCTGCAGTACCACAAGCTTACAAAACCTTTGGACATTATAAAAGTCGTGGAGACTGGGGAATAAAACGTAGTTTACCAAGAGTTTCACATTCTGATATGGTAGTTATTGGTGCAATAGATACAACAGAACATCAAACAATATTTCACAGCGTTCAAGGTTTAGCGAAATTTACAAGGAGATGGAAAGAAAATTTTCCATTTTCAAAAATGGTTCAACCACTATCACAGTCGTCGTCACCATCATCGCCATCATCATTATCATCATTATCATCGTCATCATCATCATCTACACCATCTATCACTAACGATAATAGTAATAATAGTAATAGTAACAAACTATTGGACATTGGTAAATTGTCAGAGAAAAAATTTAAGAATTTTTTAAAAATAGCTGAAAATAAAAGAGATGAATGGCTGACAAAAGATCAAAAATTCAAAGATGAATTTGGTAAAAATCCCGTAGCTCAAGATTACCTAAGGTTTCTAAATCTAGATTATCAAAGTGAAAAAGAACCTATCAAAGGATTAACCTATTCTCATAATAATCCTGGTTCAAATATCATAGTACAAGGACGTATACTAAACAAAAGTTATTATGCAATTATTGCCGTTGGTGTTAGTGGTTTAGTGACACGTCTTCATAATTCTAAAAGCATGCGGTTGACACAGATTGATCGTAATAAATTGGAATCATTTTACGTGGAAAAAGCAGAATTTGATAAAAAAGGAATACCAAGAGTTATTTTAACAAGAGTACCACCGCTCAACATCATAAGCAATCTAAGTTTTTCAAGCGATCCATCATCATCTGATTTGTCATCATTTTTAGGTTCTGATAGATCAAGCGTCAACGGTAGGAAATATTCTTCAGAAGATAGACAAACACAGGAACAAATTTTGGTTAAACTTCAAGAGATAATTAAAGAATTTGAACCAACTAAAGTAGAAATGTCTGATCAACCTGGATTCCAGAAAAAATTTTTAACATTTAATAACAATTCACCTTCTAAAAATAGTAACAATAATAATAATAATAATAATAAATTATTTTTCGAAGACAATTCTCCTTCATCTGCTACTACTACTACCACTAAAAAAACTAACGAAGATGATGAAATACTCAGGCTATTGTCAGAATTTAAAAATGACGATGACGATGATGATATTATATAATATTATGGAGAATAATATAGATATTGTGATGACAGCATTATAAATTTTATGTATGATGTGTATGTATATATATAATTTTATATTTAGATCTTTCTAAATTAATTAATAAATAAATAAATTTCATTAATTTGAATTTAAGAAAAGACAATAGAGAATTAATTTATTGACAAAATTATTATATATATATTTATTATTGATTATAAAAAAATTTAAAAAAAATTACAAAAATAAATTAGTAAATTGATTCTATAATTTTCATCATCCATAAATTATCATCAAAGTCCACCGTAACACCACCGACCTAACTTTCGTTTATCTTTACTTTCTTTCTGACAACTTGGAAAACTTCATAATCAACTACATCAAACTTGCTTGATTTAAAAATATCCGATTCGTAATAAGTATATTTAGTAGAACAACCTTTATTTAGGCTGCTCATATTTGACATACACAAATCCTTGCCACCAAAACACGGACCTCTAACATCAGCACAAAATATTGCCATGCTTGAATTTTTAGGATTGATTCTACTAAGTTTTGAGTTTTCCAGTAAATCTTTTGATGACGGTAACAACCGAAAAATAAAACTTTTATTAGTCTCAATCCAATAACCAAAAAACCCACCAGTCCAGCCAACAGGGTTATAACCACCAATTATTTCACCAGTGATGGAATCTTTCATCACCACAACTGTTGCTCCTTTATTGTCACATAATTTATGAAAAGTTTTCGCAGTGAAATCATCGCGACTGCCACGTAATATTAATTTGAATTTGTGAGATAGTGGTCTACGATAAATTTGGTTTCTATTGGGAAGATTATCAATATTATCTATCCAATCCGAGATTAGTATAGCATGACTCATGTTAATGATTTTAGAATCAACCAAATTTTCTTCAAACAAATATTTTTCAAAAAATTTTTCCAAAAAATTTTCCAAATGTATTAATTGTTGAAATGATGATAACTCATTTCGATTAATGTTATCAAATCTAATATAAGCAAGACAATTTTTCAATGTTAACTCCAAAGCATTAAATTCGTTTTGTGACCAATTAGAACAAGAAGGAGAAACACTATTTAGAAAATCGGTAGCAGCAGTATCAGCGATGGTATTATTAAGTGATGGAGTATTATTTATACCCCATTGAATCAAATAATCCAATAAATTAATCTCGTTCATTCTCAAATCATCGCGTTTAATTATTTGAATGAGTGTTGATTCATGGATTGATTTAAAGGTTAAGGAGCTGAATAATTGATCTGGATTTTTACAAATATTGTTTAGACATAATTGTTGGATATTTTGACATGATTCTAATTGGAATACTGCGTGATGCATTAATTGAATCGGATTATTTTTTATCCAGTTGCTATGGTATTTTATAAAATAATTGATTACGAAGTTTTCAAGTTCTTGTAACATCAATTCATTTGCTGCCGCTAAGATGTCCAAGATAAAGGTTGCAGGTTGATTTTCAAGTGATATAGTACCCGAATAAATATAACTATTGATAACGGGTGGTGTGACAATAAGTGTAGTTTTAGTTTTAGTGGTGGAGTAAATTTTGTTACGTGATTTTGATTATCATCTATCCTAATCAATCAATCGATCGATCAATCAATTCGATCAATCAATCAATCAACCAACCAACCAATCATCAACTAACCTTAAAATTATTTGGAATACATCAGGTGAAATATTTGGTTTTTCAAATACCATACAATTTCTATCATTATCATCCAACTCCAATTTCCTCCATTTGGTTGATAGTGCAGAATAAAAATACGGAGATCTTGCACGTAAAATACATGAATGAGCCTTTATACAAGCGATGTTTGATGATTCACCGCCACCTACTTTAATAAGTACGTTGTAATCATTAGCATTTACAAGTAATTTTGCGAAATCTGTTACTAAAGATTTTGTAAGTGATTCTGGTGTAGTAGGCATTTTTTTTTTTTTAATTGATATTGATGAATTGAGAGAAATTTACAAAAAAAAAAATTTTTTTTAAAGATGACACTTGTTGTTTATTTATATATTTATAGCATTAACCATCAATTACCCCATAAAAATACGACAATACAATGATTATATAACAATAGAGATAATTAATAAAGCCACTACGAGAGAAAATATATTTTCATCCCCTAACGTTATTAATATAAATAGAATTAATATATATTAATTAGAAAATTTTTACCCTTCTCTTCTATATATAAAAACTTTGAAAACCCTCAAATAGAAATTTTTTATTCAGGGTTCGAATTTGTGGAGAACCATTTACTATTATTAAATAGAGTATTTGACTAATACGCTAATCCATAAATGACATCTAAAACTAACCACAATTAATTAAAGAATAAATTTTAATGTGAACTTACTATATAATGAATCGTACGATACAATTCATTATATATAAATTCTGCTCGATACAACGATTTTTAAATATAAATTCTCGATATAATCATATAGTGAAGTTTTACTTAATTGCATTAATATTTACATAATAAAAATTTGAATTTAGTAATTTGTCGCAAAAAATTTTTTTCGATGAAATTGAATTTAGTAATTTGTCGTATTATGCATGAGATTGAAAAAAATTCAAAAGTTATCATAGCGATTAGATTTAGTAGTGTCGCGAAAAATAAAGCAATTGAATGTATCACACGAAAAATAAATTTGGTAGTAATGTGTCGCGAAAAAAATAATTTTCTTGTATATAATTAATAAATGTCACCAAGAAAAGTTTTGACTTGGGACGAGGAAAAAAAACTTTGTAAATTTAATGGAAGAAACCCATCGTTCACATATTAATATAAAGAAAAGAACTTGGTCTAAAAATTCGGAATCGCAGAACCTGCTGTTTGCAACATTTTAAAAGATAATGATAAATCTTAATGATACCAACAGACAAAAAGATAAAGCTGCAAAGTATCCTAATCTTGAAATCAAGTACTTTCGGATAAAAGAGTAATTACAGGCGATATAATTCTTGTTAAAAAATTATTAGTCATGTATGACAAAAAAATTACTACAAAAAAGCTATTAGAAAGCAATTAAAATCCACATACATACCCAAACATACTGCTTCTATTTATTTTCATGAAATTATCTATATTATTTATTTTTAATCAATATAATGAGGTTTTTTCTCAACTTTCTTATATCGAGCGCCAACTGTATGATTAGAATGAATATTAATACGATTAATACACTACGGGTTAACCTAGAGTTCCGCAGCAAAATATTATATACTCGGCCGGGAAAAAATATTTTATGTACGTTAAACGATCAAATATCCATCGTCAAATGCCCACACATTGTCGTTTCGCACCTTTTTTCACCGTTATATTATAATAGAAAGGTGAATTGGTTTATTAAAAATGTTATGAATTTAATTTTAAAGTATGATATTATAATTAAGCAAAGAAGGCATTGTTTCCAAGATAAAAATGCCCTTCGTGACGAATTACATACGGGATGTTATCTAACATTAACTCAAGCTTTAAAAGTTACAGTTGCAGACACCTACTTTAATCATGTATGTAGCTTCTGGCTGACTCAATTTTGACCTCGATGTAGAAGATTTGCTAAAATCTTATGATGAGATGTTTGTGCACTTCTAGTTTCATTATATGGTTATTTTATGAGATACCTATGTTGCAAAATTAAGAACGAGTAATCTTATTGACCTGTATCTCCAGATATAGACTTTCAAGATTTGTGCCAGATATCGACCTTCAAGCATGTCGCAGGTGAGATCATCAAAGACTGTAAGGCTTATTGACCTACATTGTTGGTGCCGACCACCAAGGACTCGTTGAACCTATCGCTAGATATTGACGATCAAGCTTGTGGTTGACCTATGTCGCCAGATATAAACAACAACAGATCTGCTAAAGATTCTTGACTCTTTGATTTAGATCAAAAAGTTTGATTGTCCAAATATCGCCAGATGTAAATCATCAAAAGACTTTGTTGAAAATAACTTTTGAAATTTTAACATTCTCTTTTATAATAGATATCCGTCAAAACTTTTTTTTTAATGAAATTTATGCCTTTAGATTTTTTTTTTTTTTTGAAAGTATCGTTAAAACAACCTTTGATAGGATAAGTTTGGTTGGCAGCATAGCCTGTATTATCATAATATTTACAAAAACTCAAATACGTAACATCAAAGATTTTAGCATTCTTTTCTATATTACACATTTAATACTTTATAAATTCTGTATATAGAAACCAGATGGTGATAATGCAATTTCAAATATATCAAAGAAGTTAAAATACAAATTAAATGACGATTATATTATAAATTTCTAATCTTGGTATTGTAAAAATTCAAGAAATTGTTAATATTCCTCTCAAGAATTTGAGATCACACAAGATATTAATTAAACTATATTCTTTCGATTATTGACGTTCACTCACTCATGTGGACCTCAAGTGCTAAGAATATCTTTACAAGATGGAATTACTTGTCCAAAACCAGCACAAACTGTTGACAACTAGCTTAAGATGGATTACTTTTTTCTCTAGGTTTCGTATTGATACGCATTTATTTACACTTTGTTCTTCAAAATACTTTTATTAGTCATGCTTCCATGGCATATTTTCACAGTATAGTATATCTCTTCAAATAAAATTTGTTGAATGTATAAACAAATTAGTGTTATGACTAACCAAGAATTAATGAATAATGGGCTAATGTTGATTTGCTTGGAGGAGTAACTGGTTCAAGGAAAACTGTAATTGGCAAAGAAATAATGGAATATTAACATTGTCCAAAAAAGAATCAGCCAGTGACTACTACTATCTTTTATATCGATGATTGCCTTTATCCTAATCAAATTATCCTGCCAATATGGATTACAAATTAATGACCGCTACCATCAAAAGTATTTCAAGTGGAAAGGACACTCACTCGATCCACTGTGATTGAGAGAAAAAGAAATAAAAATAGCTTTGGACCGAAATCATTAGGAAGGAGTACGTTGAATTAATTAATTAAACAAGGTGGTAAAATTTATATTCTCGAAGAACCCATGCTTTACAAAGTAGGAACAAACCATTTATAATCAATACAAAAGAAATTTTATTATCCCTACAAAAAATTACGCAGATTTGGTTCTTAATAGTAATTTCAGAGATGAACTTAAAAATGTGGAAATGATTCTGTATTTCAAAGATAATTAGGAACTTGAAATTTCACTACTAAATTTGACCCCTGCAATTTTGTCTGTATGCCCCCATAATAATAATAATAAATAACAAACATAAAATGGTAATACCTTAAAATTTTTTAAACTAGGCTGTTGGAAAAAAAAAAAGAAAAAAATTTTTATTCGTTTTTTTTTAAAAAATTAAAAAGTACATATCAAAGAAGCTCATCGTTTTGTAAAAGGTGATAAAAATATAATTTTAGCGAGTAAAATTATTAATATTTTAAAGAAACATTATATTATTTATATATTTATATATTTATATATTAATCACTTAAATTTTATTCTTCTAGTAATCCTCATCTATTAAACACATACATACATACATACACATATACATACACACGCAATTTATAAAATATGGCTGGTGCTCGTGAAGAAGAAAGACAACAGTATGCGTGGATTATTTAAATATCGTTTATCGTTTAATTAATTTCCTAATAAGTTAGTTATATAATTAAAAATTTTTATTTTTCTTTAAAAAAAAAGCTTCAAGAAACAACAAAATGACCGACGTGATTATAACAATGCAAAAAGAAAAAATTCATTTGGTTAGTAATTTTTATTCATATTCCTAACAGAAAAATATCAAATATTTGACAATTTTACAATATTTTCCCGAATTACATACAGCTGGTAATAAAAATAACAATAACAATAACAATAATAATAACAACAACAACAATAAAGACCTTCATAATACAACAACAACTACTTCAGGTACAGTACCACCTACACCAATTACACCAACATTATCCGCACCTATTGTATCTTCTACAAACAACCCCAACAACAACATCATTAATAACAACAATAACATCATGATGGGAACTACATCATCAGCGTTATCATATTCATCTGCTATAGGATCAGCATCTTCTACATTACATCATCACCCACATCCTCATCATCTTAATCATCATCCGCCTCTTCCTCACCACCCGCACCCACATAATCACCATTTGAGATCTGTGCATGAACATGTTCCCGTTAATAATTTCAATGCTCAAGAAGTTTCGGATTTTTTAAATAATAGTATGTATCGAATTTTTTTATTCTTTGGGGAAAAGAATTTTATTTATGGTGGCGATACAGTGTTTAATTAACACATAAAATGACGATGGTGATGATAGGTTGGATTGAAGCAATGGGAAAATTACGTGATAATACTATTCCAGACTCTGGTAAGAATATTTTTCAGAGAGGTAAAATAATAATCATAGTAATAATAACAAATACAAATAATTAGCAAGATCCTGATGTTTTTAGCAACAATTATTCATATTCATCTTTTTTTTTTATTTTTTATAATTTTATTAGAAAAACCTGAACTATATAAATCCACAGAAAATGCATGGGGTAGTAAAAGCGGACCTGTATGGGGACAACGAGGTTTTTTTTTTTCCAACAAATCATTATTATTATATCTACATATAGCAAATACTAATAAATATATATACTAACAACATAATAAAAACCACAGCGCATTTGATGGCTAATGGAAAAGATTTCTTTAATGAATTAAGAAAATCTTCTTCAACAATTGTTGTTCAGCAACAACAGTCACTTCTTCAACAGCAACAACCTTCAAATAATGTTCAATCAACCAAGTAAAAAAAATATAAATATAATAATATATGAATATATATAAAATACTAAAAAAAAATATTTGAAAATTAATTTAAAAAACAAAAAAAAAAAGTTAATCGAGTGTATTTTTTTTGTAATATATAAATTAAATTATTTATATGTATGCATCAAAAAATAATATATATATGTTAATATTATCAAGTGGAAAAAGAAGAGTACAACAACTACCATTAAAATCCACTGCATCCAAGTCATCTACTACTACTACTACTACTACTGCATCTACAACTCCTTCAACATCATCATCTGCATCTACTACTACTACGTCTACATCTAGTAGACCTTCTACGCCATCATCACCTACATCATTATCATCATCCACATCGTCATTATCATTGACAACATTGTCGTCATCTACAGTTACTACAACTGCTGCAACAACCACAACAGCTCCTTCATCACCTACTACACCTACTACACCCAGTTCACCAACTTCTAATAATAACAATAATAATAGTAATAATAATAATAATAATCAAAGAAGATCGAAATATTATTCCAGAAACCGTAAAAGTGGTGGTGTTTCATCAAGTCAGCCAAAGAAAAATAATATGGACATCTAATATCATATATAATATATTATGGTTTATTAATGTTTGATGGCTTATTATATATGAACACTTTCTTTGTTTTCAAAATTTGATTCTAATCCTGATTGTTATTTTTTCACCTTTAATATATATCTCTTAATATTACACATACATATAAATCCAAAGCTTTAATTTTAATTTTTTTATTATTGTAAAAGTATTAATTAAAAACTTGTTCTAAACATTTTTATCATAATAATTATTATTCATTTATAATTATATTAATTAATCTTTATATAATCATAGTAATTATATAGTATAATAATAATTTAATAATACTAATAATAATATATATTAATAATTATTATAATAACAATATAGAAACCACATATATATATTAGAGATTATATATCTATATATTATTTATATACACAAAAATAAATAAAATTAATCAATTTTTATTTATTAGCATCACACAACTACTAAGGCCGTTCAAATTTGTTTGTTTATCCTCTCCCCAAAATTTAAAGAACACGGTGCATTAGTTTCTCTTTTTGATGTAATGAAAATACGGCTACCGACTGCAAACTAGTTTTATTTAAATTTGGTTTAGAGTATTTCAGTTTTGTTAAAACTATAAATAAATTGAAATGTGACACGTAAATAAAAGGAATTATTGTTACAGATAAAGCAAAGATGATACTAACAAAAACAGAACATTATTCAAGGATAAGTGAATAGAAACTTAACTTGGTTCTCTTTGCAGGTAGAAGTCGATCCATGGCACTTTTAATTTTTGGATGCTTGTTGGACAGGTCCTCCTCGCTTGTATAAGGCCTCATTGAAATAATATTTGCATTATGGTGATATTACCAGCACCTGTGAGATTATTTTGATCACATCCCATCCAGAGAAGTTAGGATTAATGTCATTGGTAATAGCAAGCATGGCATGTGTTGAAAAGACTGGACCAAAATACGCTGTAAAATTTCCTTTTGAGACAAGCAAAAATCATCATCAAGCTTTGTGACATCATCATCAAATGGTTGTGTTGTAAAGAGGGGGTGTTATAAGATGATAGTCAGCAAAGAGATCGCTGGAATTATAAAGACCCACAAGATTCTTGTTAATTTCCTGATAAAATTCTGTTGACTGTAATTGTCATGTGTTGACAGATAGTTTGTTTTGGAATGCTTCAATGAGGTGTTTGTTATCGTTACAAATGTTGCTAACAAGATCAATGAATCTGCAAGTCTTGTTGATGTACCATTAATAATCAAACAATCGCTTTTCATCCAATCAATGGACTTGTCATCCTTGTCTGTCAAGTTTGTGCATGGAAATTGATTATGGGCCTGTCTAACAGAAAGCTCTTTCAACTTTACAACAATGCCCAATTTTTCTGTGTTCCATATACACCATGGTGCAAATCTCCCAGAGTTGTTGTTTGATAGTTACGTTGTATATGCAAATTATGTGCGGAATGCCACATAGTAGTATGCCACAAACTTCACCCATTCACTTCAACCAATGTTCTCTTTCACGCTAATTAATGTCTTTTCTAGCATTGTTGTTGGTTCCATTATTTTTAAAATATCATTATAAAGGCAGAGAAAAAAGGTTGCAATATCATGAGGATGCTGCTGAGAATGATATGTGAGTCACGCTCCAGGTTTTCAACAGTAGAAGAGGAATCATTTGGGACCAGTAGTTGATATCTGCTGACAGCAATTCCATCAATGCAATGATATAGAAGTTCTCAAGCTAAAACTATATTTTGCTGAACAGTATTATGTATATTGTAGTGATTTTAAAAATATTGTTGAATTACTGATCATCAAAGCTAGCAAAGAAACTATGCAGAGTACACCTCTAAGAGATACTGTAGTGCACGAGGTAACCCTCCTGTACTAAGGCTCCGAACGAATCGAATCGAATCGAATCGAATTTGAGAGTGATTCGATTCAAACCGGATTCTTAAAATTTTTTTAACGTCATATTAAATTTATATTTTTAATTTGATAATTTAAATTTATATTACATAGTGAATCTCAATTGGTGTGCCTCCATTTAATGAATACTAATGGATTGAGGTTTAAGAATGGTTTAATGATAATAAAATTCTTCTTGATATGATATTTATTCGAATTTTTAATAATAATAATAACGGATTTCTTTGAGTAAAAAAGTAACGATTTACAGTTGTACAATTCATTAATATTAAATCTAAAATAAATAAGTACTAATACTAATATTACTGATGCTTCTTCAACTTCTTCAATTTCTTCAACAAGAGATGCAATTATTGCTCCAGGTAAAAATTTTTTTTTGAATTTTACAATATTTATACTATATAAATAAAAAATATTTTTTGTAAATAAAATTATAAAATATACATTAAAATAAAGATTTTTCATTTATTATATATAGTGTATTTGATTCAAATCATGGATTCAAATCAGTTATTATTATAGATTCAGTTTGAATCAAATCAAATCAGTTCAAATCAAATTATATATTCGAATCTGTTCGAATCGAATCGAATCAAAGTACAATTCGAATCGTTTCGAATCGGTTCAAATTTCATTGATTCGTTCGGAGCCTTAGTGATAAATTATAATGTGATACAATATAAAGATTTTTATTTTGTATGATAAAATATATTTTTAAAAAATAAATGAAATAAATGAAAAATAAACTATTTATGATTTGCATACTTATTCAATATTAAAAAAGCTATCTAGTGTGGATTGTTGTTGTGAGTTAAAATCAATTTTTTTGAATTTTTCTTTTAAGGCTTTTCAATAATTTAAAATCGCCCTCATTTAATTCTGATTGTTTGTTGGTCAATGTAAATTTCTAACGTTTTTATTGCTGACAAGGCTTCTTTATTTGTAACAGGTGGAAGTTCTTCGATTATTTCTTCCTGGCTTTCATATCAAATTTTGCAAATCATTGAAGCTCTCTTACATTCAATAAATTTAAAATTGATGACATATTTCAATTTCGTTGGAATTAACATCATAATCAGGTAAGATACCAGTTTTTTTTCAGCAGTTAACTATAGTTTGACTGGTAACTTTTTTCCAAGCTTTTGCTGTAAATTTAATTGCATGTTTTAATTGAAATTTTTTCATATTCTTGACCATTTCTCTCTTCTTCATAATCACCAATTTTTTTTTGCAAGAAAAGTTTTTTGTAGTTCACATTGAAGCTGCTAGTTATCCCGGCATCACATTGTTGTAAAAATGTTGTTATGTTTGGTGATAAGAAGTAAACTCTTACATTAGCTAAATTTGTTGAATTCAGAAATAGAATGAGTGGGAGTATTGTGACAATAAGCGCGTTCAAATTATTAATATAATTGAGTGTGATACTCAATTTCTTAATTTGGTAATGATTACCTCAGATCATGATCGTCGGCCGTTATAGACAACATATAAAACATATGAGAGAAAAAATCAATTAATTAATTTAATGCCAAGTTCAAGTTCATGTTGTAAACTTATATATCTAGCAATATCATTATCTAATATTCTGCTTGAATGATATGCTAATGGATGTGGCTTTTGTATTTGTTGTGAATCATTATTATTTGAATTGTTTGTAGTAAAATCATAGTTTCATCTTCGATTTTATGGGCTTTTGTTAAATAATCATGAGCAAGACCATTAAGTTCATCAATAGTTGGTCTTTTAGATGGGTCAACATCCCAACATTTTTGCATCATTTTTGCATATTCTTCTGGCATATTTGATAAAATTGGTGGCCTTAAACCTTGGTAGCAACCATCATCAAAAGTTGCAGCCAGTATCCTTAGTATTATATGGGGCATACTGCAACAAAACCAGACAAAGTGAATATGACAAGATCAAAACTTAGCAACCATCAACGTAATAGTAGTAATGTGATTATTATTACTATTATTATTCATCTTTTATTTACTTTAACTACTTTCCCTGTTGCAGGAGTCACATGAACACTATATATTAAAAATATTTTATACTTTATTTTATTATTAATTTAGCATTTATTACATTTATTATTAATTTAGCATTTATTACATTTATTATATATTGCATTCTATATATTAACAATAAATTTCATTAACATATATCAACTCAAATATTATTTGCCATTGATAAACTAAGAATACAAGAAAACTAATTGAATTTTTGCTTATTCGATTACATTCATTGTTGTTGTTTGTCTTTGAGAATTTTTCTCTTCTTGATATCTTTTGGTATTGGAATTGTTTCTGTCATGCATATGTCATCATCACTTGAATCTAAATTATTTGCATTCAAGCAACTTTTAATAGAACTTACAGTGTCTTTAATCTCATCCTAAATAAAATGACAGTAATATGAACTCATATAGAATTAGAAGATAAATAAAGAGTATTTACTGCAAAGGTCCAACAAATTCTTAATGTGTGGATCAGTTGACATATATCTTCGATTTCATGAGGAATCACACATTCTCCAATTCAGGGTTGACAAATGTGTGGTCCATTGATGGTCTATTGGTGGTCCATTGGGTCCATTAGTGTAACACTTTAACCATATTTAGTATTTTATTAATGGCAATGGACCAGTCCAAAATCAATCTGTTCTCAATGGACCAGTCAATTTGCCAACCCTGGTTTAATCGTATCACATTTGTTGCAATTGTTATAAAAAATTTGTGTTTAATTCTAAAATAAACCAAATTACTTATTTATTCATATATGCATAATAAAATTATAAATATAGTAATTAGATATACCATAATTAATTTCCCTATTCTTTTTGTTAAGATCCTTGTAAGATGAAGCCAAAAAGGATAAAAAGTTATAGGCAGGTCCATTAAAAACTTTCCAAAAATTAACATGAACTAAATAACACTTTGATTCCTAAATATAAACAGACATATGTACATAAAATTATATTAATAGTTTGTTTAAAATGTAGTAATTAATATTTGGATAATCAGATAGAAATATAAGCATCTAACATATTATGCCTTTATCCTGATGCAATTACAAAAATGTCATTGCTGGCATATCATCAAAATACTATCATTGATATCTCAATGACAATGATGCAGTCACTTTTTGACAGTCTTGTTTATCATCACATTTTCAACAAACAAAATAAATTCATATAAAATACTTACATCATATAATTTTGACAAGTCCTTATTGTTGTTGTTTTCCTTAATTGATTCAATTAAGTTTTTAAATTCTTTAAATTCTTGTATTTTATTGTTTGTCATCTCAAAACCAACAGACAATTTCCAAATATAATAATTGGTGGGTGTCCATATTTCGATACCATATTTTTTTATAAAATCCTAAGTTTTTGTAATTTCATGGATAAATATTAATGATATTAATTATATTTTTAATAATTATAAATGAAGGAATTAATAACATTGTTTATGAAAGCATTATTTACTGTTTTCCACTGCTTGGTAAAAAGGATCAATATCTGTTCCCCATAACCACCAATCTTTATATATAAACTAAAGTGACAACAAGTGGTAATAACCACCACCATTCTTAAAACACTTACCCTCTTTCAGTTATTTCATTCTCTCTGCTTCTTTTGTTTTTATTATGTTTAGGGTTTGTATTCATGAATATCATAAGGGGATTTTTTGCTGTTTTAATAGTGTGTAACCCCTTAATGATATTCATGAATAAATAAAAAAATTTTTTTTAAAGAAAAAAAGTAGAAGTTTGTGATTTGATCAACGCATACACATTAATTATTTATCCTATTGGTTTTTTTTTTGGTAGGACAGACTAGAGATGTGCGATGCGCATAATAGATTAGATAAATCTGTGTTACACACCAAAAATTTTAAATGCCACCAGCTAATCCCATTTGGATTCATTTCAATAAGCTTGGTCAAGTATCAGGCTTTCAGCAACCTTGCGCACAATGCAAATATTGTAATTATGAAATAAATGCTGCTGTTGGTAAATGTGTTGCACATTTTAAAATTTGTTCAAGAGTAAGTATAACAACTCTCCAA